TCCACACCTGCGCCCACACTCAGACCTGCAGCCTCGCCCAGGCCCCGCCCTCTCACGTGGCTTCATCCCTCCAGCCCGGGTCCCTGCTGATCTGGGACTGCAGCCCCCGGAACCTCTGCAGACGGGGAGCAAGTAGTCAGCTGCCTGAACATTTAGAGCATCTCCCCGCGGTTGTCTCCAGCTCAGTCCACCCAAAGCTGAAGTCTTGTCACCCCCCCACCCCCACCCCCATTGCGCCATCCCTCCCACCCTTAGCCAGTTCTCTCCTGCAACCCTGACCCACACCGATGTCTGGGCCCATGAACTGGCAGACTCCCTCTCGCTCACATCTGAAGCTGCCCGACATTTCAGCCCCTGCACATGCCGAGTCCTCCTGTCTCCACCTGGTCTGGGGCGCCACTCCTGAACCAACAAAGGGCCTTTTGCACACACACATCAGGCCCCTCCATCCTCACTACCCACACCACCTGCAGCCCGTTCCTTGGCCACCCACTGCCCAAAGCCCAGGACCCAGGCACAGCCTGCCCACTCGACACCCAGCCACGCTGGTCCCCCCATCCCCACCAGGCCAGGCTCACCCTTTCCTCTGCCTGGAACGCCTCTCCTCGGTGACTGTGCCCTGGGTCCTCAAAATCTCACCTGGGCCTCCCTGATAGCTCAGCTCGGATTCCTGACCCGGTCAGCCCCCTTCACGTGCACCTCGCAGCCCCTCACCCTGTGCTGGGTCTTGCGTTTCTCCGATCCTTCAGGGAGTCACCCTGCCCACCTGTGCCGTGCTCTCCTCATAGGTGGGCCTGGCCGGCAGGTCTGTCCCCAGTGCCTCACCAGGCCTGCTTTAGTGTCAGCCAATCCACCACATGTTAAATAAGCCAGCGAATAATGAGCACAGCCCTTTACTGGCAAAGACAAGCAGGTGAAGTGGACCCAAATCCTTCAGCCATAGTAAAGAGCTCCTGAGGCCAGGTTCCCAGGACTCCTCTCCCCACGTGGGCCGGACCCCGAGACGCCCATATAAACGTGCGACTTCCCAGCTAGTCAGGTGCCTGAGGACGTCCTCCTGACACCTAAGCGCAGTATTTTCTTTTAATTATCTTATTAAATAAGGCGCCTGAAATGGCACAATTCTACCCGGATGAGGGTAGCCTACACTAGAAGCCAAAGAGGAGGGGGCATAGAGACCCCTGAAACCATCCCCCCGGTTGGTGACGTCTCTGCTGAGGAGCAGAGTTGAAGCACAAGGGTCTCCAGCCCGAGCAGCGGCCTCAGCTATCGGAGGGCGGCCCTCATCCTCGTGAGCCTGAGTTGACCTCTCCCCGACATGCCTCCTGGACACTGATGTTGAAAGAAATGAAAAAAAGAATTTGTTTTAATGATGCACAGTGGGTCGGGCTGAGCGTTGTTCCCCCGTGACTTACGCTAGTCTTTGAAACAGGACCATCAGGGGAGGGCCCCGGAGATGCCGCTGGCATTGGCTTCCATGTGCCAGATGCAGACATGGGAAAACTCTTACAGGTTTAAACTTTGGGGATGAGAAAACCAGTTATGTTAAGACGCTTTGCGTATTGAAGACAGTCAGTTGTGTATTCAAAGTGTGAATTGAGACAAGTAAGCTGATTTAAATTAGCCAAAACCATGACTTAATGTGCATTTCAGGGTTTTTTTTTTTTAATCTGTGTCATCCAGAGAATTGTCTCACTCCTCCTTTTGCAGCGTTAGTGGGGCAGCATGTCCCCTACCGGGTCCTTAGGAGGTTCTGCAAGTGACTGTCAGGTGCACCGATTCTGGGACCTCGTGTCCATCTTCCTGCATATACTGGGTCTTACTGCTCTTCCCCCCACCCCCAAAATGCTTCAAGGAACCTCAAGCAAAAGTATCTATAGGAGGGAGGGTGTAGCTCAGTGGTAGAGTGTGTGCTTAGCATGCACAACGTCCTGGTTTCAATCCCCAGTGCCTCCATTAAATAAATAAATAAACCTAATTACCTCCCCTCCAAAAAACAAAAACTGGAAAAAGAAAGTATCTTGCAACAAGGCTGAACTCACACAAGGTAGAAGCTGCCTTCCCTGTGGGGTCCTCTGTCTCGCTTTCCCCAAGGCCCAGCGATGACATTCCATGGGTTTTCTAGGGAAGGAATTTAGAACCTGGGTAGAGGGTTGAAGACAGATAGGTTTACAGTGAGCCTCTGTCTTTAGGCCTTTAAAGTCAGGCTGACTATCTAGAGCCTGCGGGTGAGCGGGTGGGGATGGTTGCCAGTCTGAGTGTGGCTCACAGTGTGGACCTAGCATGATGCTTGACCCAGAGGTGACTCAGGATATGCTGATTGGCCAAAAGGACAGATGCCCTGAGAGCAGCTGGCCTTTTTCGTTTCATCAGTGTCATTCCATGGGCACTGAGACAGGCCTCATGGGAGCAGCTCAGCCACTCAGTCCACGGGATCTGGGTTCAACTTACAGCAGCGGTTCTCAACCAGGAGTGATTTCTACCCCCCAGGGGACAGGTAGCAAGATCTGGAGACATTTCTGGTTGTCACAACAGGGGAGGAGCGTGCTTCTGGCATCCCATGGGTCAAGGCCGGGGAGTGGCTAACCACCCTCCAGTGCCCAGGCTGGCCTCCATGGCAGAGAAGGATCCAGCCCTAAATGTCCGCAGAGCGAGGTCGGGAGACCCTGCCTTAAAGCACAGAGTGGCGATCAGAATGTGTGTACCGTCCTATAAGTGGGAGGATTGTTTCCTAAAACGCTTGCTGCGGTGTTAAAAATGCAGTGATTGTTTCCAAAATGCAGTTGCACCGTTTATCAATTCTTATTTCTTGGCTTTATTTTAACCTTGCCAACCCTGTGCCTTTTTCCCCCAAGAAGCCGCAGCTGAGGAGGCCTCCCTGATAAGCGGAGAGCAGTGCCCGGGAGGGGCGCTTCCCATGGACTTCGGAGCGGCCTTGGCGGAAAGCGAGGACCTGGATGAAGGCATGACATGTGAGATGATCCTCGACCTGATGGACAAGTGACGGGGCTCAGAGTGCGTCCTCACATCACGTAATTCCTGAAGCATGTTGCAGGGGGTTAATTTCAGCACCGCCTTTGAAACAGTCAGATTCCTGACAGTGGATGGTCGCGGTTTTTCCAGAGCTTGCAGTAGTGTCTAGAACTGTTTGCCTGTTTTCAACTGATGTTTCGAAAACATTGCAGGTATTTGATAAAGAGCCCAAATCCCGAGTTGAAAGATAAAACCTCAAACCGATGACTTTATTCGCTTGATACCGGCAAGGTGGCCCACAGGCAATGAGCAGTAATTTGGGGACAATTGGTTGTTTCCCCGTAGAGACTGTTCAGTGCTTCAGCAGATAAGCTGGGAAACTGTGTTGAATTGGACACACCCATCGTGTCTCTAATCCTATGAGTTGTAAACACAGAAGGCTAATTTTATGTCCTTTTTTTATACAAATGAATTTTCCATGAAATGTACAGCTACCATAATACTTTTAATTAGTTCCAAATTCGGCACAAAAGATCCTAATGTTATTTTTTTTTTCAAACTGAGTAGAAAATGAAAAACTTGAATTACACAAGAAAACAGTGAGTTGTTTTTTGGTTTTTGTTTTGTTTTGTTTTGTTTTTTACTTTGGTGGATGAGCAAAGCTCACTTTTGGATTTTGGATTATGTTTTTGATTATGTTCTTCAGCAGGTATGAAACCCCCCCCACTGCATCCCATTCTTGTGTATTAGTGTGTCAGTTCCTCACCCTTCTGCTTTGCTGAAACGCCTTTGTTTATATTTTTTAAATAATTGGCAGAGTGAGAAGAAACCTAAAAATCTGATAATGAAAACGTGTACTTGTAAAGGATTTGTACTTTTTTTAGAAGCCCCTGTCATGAGTATTTCTCTCTTGCCAACTGCAAAGATTTCCCCACATTCAAGCAGCACATGAAATGGCCTCTTCAGGACTTAAAATGAACGGGCACCTGTCTTTGTCCTGAGTCATATTTTCCTTCTTTTCTCATCTCAGCAGCTGCTTTTGCTGTGAACTTTCCCCCCATCTTTTAATACCATCAGTAGGTCCTAAATTCAGATTCTTCCTTTTTCAGCTTTATGGAGATATAGTCAACAAATCACATGGTTGTGATGATTTGACACACAATTTGATACAGGCGTACATTGTGAAAGGGCTTTCCCCGTCTAGCTAACTGAATTCAAAGTCTTAAAGGCGGATCTGCTGTTAAAAATAGCCCAAGTTTAGGAAGCCCGTATAGGGTGAACACATGCAAGTAATTTCTCAGCAGGAAAGGCAGTAGATTCTTTTTATGACAGCAAATTAATTGAAATGGCACAATAAGACTTAAATCCCGTGGTCTGTTGTGTGCCGTAATGGGGCCTGTTTTGTAATAGTTTCTTATTCTTTGACTGTTGTTTAGAGATGTTTTGCAAAACTCAATAAAATGAAATGCTTTAAAATTGCTGTCTTTGTTATATGTGAATGATGGTTCTAAAAAGTATCCTCTCCGCCTGGTGATGACGGGGACAAGCTGGAGCCCTTGCACGTTGTTGGTGGGCGTGTAAAATGGTGTGGGCACTGTGGAAACAGTATGGCGGTTCTTCAGAAAATAAAACAGAAAATTACTGTGTGATCTGGCAATTTGGGGATATACCCAAAAGAATTGAAAGGTGAGTCTTGAAGAGATATGTGTACACCCATGTTCATCGAAGCATTATTGACAATAGCCAAAAGGTTGAAGTAACTCAAATGTCCATGGATGGATGAATGGATAAACAAAACGTGTTTATCTGTACAATGGAATAGTATTCAGCCTCAAAAGGAAATGATGCCGCATGTTACAACGTGGATGAACCTTGTGGATATTATGCTGAGTGAAATATGCCAGACACAAAAGGACAAATACTGTATGATTCCACTTATATGAGGTTCCTAGAGTAGTCAGATTCGTAGAGACAGAAAGTAGAAGGGTGATTGCCAGGGGCTGGGAGGAAGGGCGAGTGGGGAGTTACTGTCTAGTGAGGACAGAGTTTCAGTTTGGGAAGACAGAAAGGGTTCTAGAGATAGGTTGCAAAATGAATGGACTTAACACTGCTGAACTGTGCACTTAAAAATGGTTAAGACGCTAAATTTCATATCAGATATCTTACCAAAATTTAAATTTGTTTGATTTAAAAAGAACAGATAATGTAAGAAACATGTTTCAAAACATAAACCCTGTTGGTATCTAAACACCATCAAAACTCCTTAGAAACAATCTCTTACAGGTCATTTGCAGTGTTTTGCATGTGTGACACCTGGATGAGATACTAGATAAAATCAGGTTCAGATGCTCAGCTTTGATTCATGTATGTGCCCGAATTCCAACACCTGGATAAAAGGAGAAATTCTTGTCAGTGCCTCTGCTGGCTGTGACATGAGCAATGACAGTCGTCCCCACAAGAGGGCAGTGGTTTCTTTCATGGGGACAGACTCCTCCAGACCTCGGAGACAGTTAAAAAACGCAAGTTGGCAATCTGATCACTTCTGAACCACACAGAAAGATGAATAAAAAACTGTTTATCTTTCATAGTAACAGGAGGATTTCTAGCACTTAAGGCTGCTAAGTGTGAAAGGGGCCTTTCCAAGAACCTGGGAGAGAAGACACTGTGGGCTCGGGGTCAGAGGACTTGGAGAGCGAGCTGTCTTCGACACACTTTGGCTTAAAATAGTTCTGAGATCCAGCAAGAGCTCCTTCTGGCATGCACACCTCTTGCATAATTTAACATCTCTGTTTTGGGACAAGGGTGTTTAAATTACAGTTGTTTGACAACAGTTTTACTATATAAAGGATGCTTTTTAAACAAACCTGAGGCTTGACGCATGTCTCTGTTGTTTGAGATCAGTCACTGAAGGGGATGGATTCAGCAAGGGCGGGGGGGGGGGTCCTGTCCTGATGGAACTTAAGCCGTTTATGTTATAAAGTTCGACAACCTTTTGAAAATGGCCAGAATTTCTTATTTTCTAGGTGTTATTTCCAGTATAAACGTTATGTTTTTGGCTAACCATTGATAATCTTACTGAATCGCCCCTTGAATGTCTCCTTTATGACCATCAGTCACTGATGGCAGTGCTATTTATACCTAAACGCGTTCAGTCCAAAGCCTTAGGACCTTTGGCTTAACTCCCCAATTGTTTCTACATCTCCCCATCCTCACATTGTGGTTTGTTTATTTTTAATGGAGCGTATCAGATTAAACACAGATTTTAAGTGGCAGCCTCGTTTATGGTGATACTTACACAGCTTTTGCACCATCTCCAAGATGTGGCTGTGAGTGTCAGCCTTGCTTCTGTAAATCATCGTCTTGTACAGAATGCACAGTTCAGGATGTCAGAAGACATAGATGCTTGTTTTTCGGAGTAGCTGCAGATAAGCACTATGTGGCTTGCTCACGTGCTTGTGGAGACAAAAAGAAAAATGCGGTAAAGGGAAAAAAAAAACTCTTAAACTGAGCCACAGAGGCCGGGACCAGCCACGAGGGACCATATAGGAAGCTGGCAAATAGCTCTCCCCGTGAAGTACTCCTCACAGAAGCAGCAGGAGGAGCCGGCACGGCTCGTGGTGTCATTTCCTGTTGGTGGTGTTTGTAGACAAGTCCAAAGGTCGCCGATTAAAAGACTCCTGATAATTATTCTAATTATGTCCCGAGACCTGAACTGTCAGCATCAGAAAAGTGCTAACAGGAAGCGGCACGCCAGACAACACGTCACCTTAAATCGATCAGCATCGGCCGCTGAATTGATCGGAACAGCAGTGTCTGACCTTTTCCCAGGTAACCCTTTCACTTACCGGCCATTTGTAAACTTTAAACACAGATTTGTTTGTGGAGAGAAGCCCATCTCATATTTCAAAGCATCGGAACCACTTCACCCCTGAAAACGAGAAGACTGTGCTTGCGGCACTGGGACCATCGGCAGCCACTGACACAGCGCTGTTCCGAGGGATTCCAGGATTTTTCTATGAGATAAAAATGTTCTGTCAGTTAAATAATTTGTCTTCAGCAGAAAATAAAAGTTTCACTACAGAGGCACGCCCAGGTATGCTACTGGAACAGAGAGATTTCAATGCAGCTGCCCCAGGCATTCAAAAATCATTGTTAAATGGAATAAAGGAACAAATATGCTTTTTCTGTCCTGATCGTTAGCAAGCCTGCAGTCCTGATGCCAACTCCTTAAATTAAAAAAGCTAATATTTGAAGGTAAGGGTCTTTCGGAGGAGATGGAGGAAGTTGAGTTTTATTAACGGATGTGCCCAACTTAGCAGTGAGGTCCCTAGAATATTCTTCGCTGGGATGAGCTCTGGAGAACACAGTGTCACCCGGAGTGGGCATGACGGTCCCCCCTAGAAGTGACCACAGTTGCTGACTTCACTCTTCCTCGACTTTGTGCGCCTGGATTTTAGAGCACAGTCCTAAAGCTGCTGGTACTCACTAGCATGTGCAGGAACCCGCGTTATGGCCGATTCCTGAATTCCCTCGGAAGCCCCACAGCGAAACGGAAGTGATGTTTTAAGCACCTGAGAGAGCAGGACTGTTCACGAGCTACAGGGTGCAGCCTGGCGCCTGTGTGGAGGTGGGAAAATGGGGTGGGATGTCTTCAGGGATGGACAGAGTGGCTGGAGCTGCTGGAAGGCAGTGAGGACAGCGGAGGGCCCAGCCTGGACCGGAGCCAGAGCGTGGCACTGCCATGTGCGTCTGCACGTGGCACCCCAGTTCTCTGAGGTGCTTCTGCTCCAGTGGCAGCCTGTGCAGAGTGCCTGGGTCCTGCTTGGAGCAATACCACCCTTCACTTGAGTGTGTACTTGTCGCTGCACTGGTCACCCGGTTGCCCACTGGCCTCGGCCAGCGTGGCTCCTCTCTCCCGCCCCCACCACACAACACAGCTGACCATCATCTCATCCTGTCTTGGGGGCACAGGCGGAATCCCAGCTCCTTCAAGGCCTTTGGCTGAGGTGGTTCAGAAATCTCTCTGGGCGT